GTCGATATTGTTGCCATCACTATCATCACCTCATTTATCATTAGTACGATACATAAGCCGACGAAATAATTTTCGACAAAATGAACTTTTGACGAAATGAACTTTCGACGAAACAAACTTTCGACGAAATGATTGTCAACGAAATGATTGTCGATGAAGTGATTGTTGACGAAGTGATTGTCGACGAAATAATTTTCGACAAAATAATTTTCGACGAAATGTACTTTTCGACGAAATGAACTTTCGACGAAACAAACTTTCGACGAAATGGGTGTCGACGAAATGATTTTCGACGAAGTAAACGGGACCGTCCCAAAATCTCATGTAACAAAAAAAAAACCTTTATTGTTAATAAGATGGTGCCATCACTCATTTAAACAAGTTATTTCATAGCATCAACGACTAAAATTGGGTTGAGTTGATGAGTTACATTAAAATTTTGAACATAAACCTTTGATAGGCTAGTTTGAATTTCTCATGTCCGAATCATCCAACCCATCGACTAAAATATGTGCTTATTCACTACAAAAAAAATTCCGATCTAAAATCTATTAAACAGATAGATAAATATCTATTTCATGCTTAATAACATTTAATTTGCATCAAAAAGAAAATATAACAAAAAAATGATGGATTTTGAATTGAGATATTGATGAAGTTTTAGCAATTATATTTTGAACATTACATGTTTTTTTTGAAAACCGAATAAAAGGTATACATGCTGTCCAGATTAAAATTGTTGAATTCCAAGTCTCAAAATCACAAATAATTTGAGTATTGGGCAGCATGTATACATATTATCAATAAAATTTTTCCTTATAATCGTGGCACAATTGCACACCTCATAACTATTGAGTTTGAAAAGAAATTGGTATATATGTTACAGATAAATGAGAGGCTTTAACAGTCTTCTTGACAATGATGCAATTCCAATAAATCTCAGAGCCACCTGCCCCCTGAAATTAAATTGCCTTTTTGCATATCAAGAAATAAGAGAATAATGGTTATTTTGAATTTTAATCAATCAGATGTTACATATTGAATCACTTCTAAATTGTCTAAAAGAGGAATCTTCAATTGTTACGTTTTTTTAACTTTATTATTATGATAAAGGATCTTATATAACCATCCATTACTATATTATACCACATTTTGATTTCAATTATATTTAGGCTATTTTATACAAAATCTGGACATTATTTCAGAGCTTCTAATAAAATTAAATATGTTTTTTTATTAATAAATGTCTAGTCTTTAATCTATGTTAAAAAAAAAAACCTCCTAAAAAATGAATAGCAAGAAATCAAGAAGCTAACCATCTTCTCCAAGAGAATTAAAAAAAGCAAGTATTATAACTGTTATTTGATTTAGTTCAAACTCTAGTTATTATATATATTATGTTGAAAATAATATTTTTTTTATTTAGAGTGGATGATTCTAACAAATATAATGATAGTATTGGAGGTTCCTCGACCAATAACAGTATATATTTTCCATTGATGATAAAATAGATGTGATAATGATAATGCAATAGGCACTTTTAACAAAGAAGATGATGTTTTAAGAGTTCCTTCAATCAATAACAACAAAGATACTTCTATTGATGATAAAATTTTTCAAATAAAGATGATAATGATAATGCAACAGGTGCATCAAACAAAGATAATGGTATTGTTACAGTTCCTTCAATCAAGAACAATGAAGATTCTTCTATTGACAATAAATGATACAAAAGATATTTTAAATGATGATAATGACATAGCACATACTTTTAATGATGATAATCTAGTGCGTACTTCTAATGGAGATAGTAATATTGTTCAATTCCTTCAATCAATGACAATAAAAATTCTTCTACTGATGGCAATAAGGAGCTTTAAAATTTATTTTTATTATCTGATGAAGGTAATGATGTGTCTGATGATGATGATATTACAGGTCCAGTTTCCTCAAAAGATGGATTTCTAATAAACTCCATCATCCCCACAGACCCCATGCCATATAGAATAGATGCAATTATTTTTTTTTTGGCAGACATTTTTGTTCAAAATAGAAGAAACCACACATAAGTGGCAAACAAGGTAAATATGGAAGTTATATGCATCATCCATACCTGAATTGCCAAATAGTTATTTTTACAGGATAGATTAAATAATTATATTGTACTTGTATGTACTGTACAAGCTTAAAGGTAAACATGTGTTATGTTGATTGTCTAATTATAATTTTATTGTTACATGAGTATCTTGTAACAAATATTTAATTAAAACTTGAAATTTAAAATTTCTAATAATTATTATCATTATCATGTAACCAAATTTTAATAGTGCTTAAATTTATGTGAGTTGAGTTCAGCTTTTGTAATAAATCTTTTGTCACATTCAAGTACATT